AATAAGTCCTTTAATATTTCAAAATTTATAATTGATCACAATTCATATGTTTAAATATCCCAACTATATGATTTTTCTTTCATTATTCTTTATTAAGTAAAGTTACGCCATTTTGAGAGAATGAAACAATGTACGATTTACTGATTGTCGTAATTAATTAGCAGAATTAATTCGTTCAATTATGTAAATCGCACTTCACCCGAGTATACCCGATAGACCGGACGCATTTCATCAGTCTAGTCGAACCCTCAAACGGGGGTATACCCCCAAACGAGGGTTTTCCTTCCCTTAATGCAACGCGCGAAAGCCGAAGTGGAATTCAAGAACGATAATTCTTCTTTTTTAAAAAATTATTTTTTTTTAAAAAATCACAAACATGCAAAAATGATTCGTTTACACTTTGTTTTCAATAAAAAAAAAAATAATAAATTAATTTTCGTTTTTATTTACCTCATTTCTGAAACACAAGTTTGTTTACAAGACAGAGGAAATTCGGACGGGCACAGAAGAAAGGTTCGAAAAATAATAAATAACATGTTCATTACACAAAATTTGTAATACCGGGGAACGGAATTATATGTAGTTTAACTTTAAACAAAACATTGTTTGTTTATTCATTCGTTTTATTAAATTACGCATAAAAAATCTAGTTGTATCAAAAATGGAGGTCAAGGCACAGAATACTCTAACTTTGGGAGAGAAAAAGTCTCGATTTTTACAATAAACATATACTTTTTCGCAATACAATCTCTTTAAACATCTTTAATCTATCAAATTTGAGTACATACAGAGCTACGAAATAATCCATCACTTTGCACGAGCATATTCTGTGGACCACACATTTTTTCCGTGTAAACGGCACTTTTTGAGTGTCTGCGCATGCGCCGTACCCCCGTTTGAGGGTACGGCTTTCCTACTTCCGTAAACCCTCGTTTGAGGGTTCGACTAGACTGTTCATAGCGGTCCGGATTTCTTTCTTTATTAGTGTTCTTAAAAATTTCCAATTCAACATGTAATTAAGTATGTAAATATCTAGTGTTTAGTAGTTTAGTAGTAGTGCTAGTTGTTTTTGTTTCTCTTTTTCCTTTGTTCTTATGACTTTTTAACTTTTTTCTTTGTCCTGAGGAAGGGACAGGGCGTCCCGAAAATTTGACAATTTTTATTGTTCGTGTCGTTGGTCATTTTTAGTGCTTTATATATATATATATATATATATATATATATATATATATATATATATATATATATATATATATATATATGTCCTTCTATATCACTCCAACAGACGCCTTCTCAAATAAATGAAAGTAGAAAGAAACTGCAGGATTGACTCATAAACTATTTAGCAATTTATATTTATTTCCGATTGTACTTGTTTTGGGACTACTTATCAGAAGTTTTGTAAACATGGTAAATGCAGATTGACAAATTCCTTTCTCCATCAGTAAATACGATGAAATAGACTGATGCTAATTAGTTTCATTCACCTTGTTTGTAAATATGCACCCTTATCTCTCTTTCACGTTTCTGTCCCCCTTTTCTTCCCTTTCCTTTACACTGGGCATTCATTCGATTCTTTATTGATGTTTTTGTACGATTACGGTAAAAGATAATACTAAATATGCTTACAGTTAACCGCCAGGGTCTTGGAGATAAAAATAAAAGATTAGATGTTTTAATACTTTACGAAAAAAGAACTATAATGTTTATTTTCTGCAAGACACACACTTCGTTAAAAGTTACGAAAAATTTTTCAAAACACACTGGGACTATCGAGCATTTTTCAATTCGTATTAGTCTAATTCGCATGGTGTTGCTATTCTTTTTGATAATAATTGCGAAATAGATATCCACAAACATTTAAGCCATGAAAATGGAAATTACATAATCATAGACTGTACTATTGAGGGTATGAACTTTATACTTGTAAATATTTATGGGTCAAATTCTGATACACCAGTTTTCTATTCTAATTTGATGAATGAGATTGAAAAAATCTACATGTTGCAACAAATAATCATAGCAGGCGATTTTAACTTAGTTTTAGACAAGGAATTAGATTCCATGAACTATAAAAATTTGAACAATCCAAAAACGCTATTCGTGGAGAAAAAAGACACCCTTAAAACAGGCTAGACTAGACTTTTTTTCTTATATCGGAATCTTTGCTCCCTTCTGTTAGTAGTGTTCAATATGAAAACAGTTACAGAACCAATCTCCAGTTGTGATGTCTTTGAAATTAATGACTTTATTAAAGGTAAAGGATATTGGAAATTTAACAATTCTCTTGTAACAGATAAGGCTTATACTGATTCAATTAAACAAAAAATTACGTAAAAGTTCAGTATGCATGCCCAGTGTATGACATAAATAATCTTTGTTCTGTCGATAATAAATTATTGCTGTTCACTGTTAGTGACCAATGTTTCCTAGATATTTTACTCATGGAAATTAGATGAAAGACTATACTCTTACTCAAGTTATAAGGAAAAAAGATGCATGAAAGTGAATTATTTTTTAGAAAATGAGATTTTACATTTAGAACAAAATCTGACAGAGAGTACATTAGATACCCTTAAAATGAAACAAGCAGAACTTGAAGATATACATAAGACAAAGTTTAAGGGGCAGGTTATTCGTTCCAGAATGAAATGGATCGATGAAGGTGAAAAACCGTCAAAATATTTTAGTCAACTTGAATATAGAAATTATTTAAGTAAACAGATACAAAGATTAGAAAAAGAAAATGGATCTATTATTTCAGATCAATATGATATTTTAAATGAAACAAAACTTTTTATGAAAATCTATATAAAAAAAGAAAAGTTGTTGAAAATGAAAACTTCAGCAAAAAATTGTCAGAATATAATGATATCCCAAAGCTGTCTTTTGAAGAAGCTCTAAGTATAGAGGGTCCTCTAACAAAATCAGAGGTTCTAAACTTTCCTAAACAGATGAAAAATGATAAAAGCCCAGGTCCAGATGGATTCACTTGTAATTTTTTAATTTTTTTTAAAAGGATATTGGCACATTTATTACAAGAGCAATCAATGATTCATACTTAAAACAAACTTTCTCCGAACCAAACAAATTAGGGGTTATAACATGTATTCCAAAAACTGGTAAGCCAAAATAATTTTTAAAAAACTGGCGGCCTATTAGCCTCTTAAATGTTGTATATAAATTAGCCTCAACGTGCATTGCTGAAAGAATTAAAAAAAATATGAGATAAGCTAATACATGGGGACCAAACAGGATTTATTAAAGGTAGATTTATTGGCGAAAATATTAGACTAACATATGATATTATGCACCAAGCAGAGTCAAGAAATATACCTGGTCTCTTAATGTTTATCGACTTTGAAAAAGCATTTGATACCATTTCATGGAACTTCATAAATCAAACACTTTGTTTCTTCAATTTTGGTCAGTCAATTAGAAATTGGATAAAATGTTTTTATAATAATATAAATTCCTGTGTTATTCAAAATAGGATTGTTTCTCAGTATTTTTACCCTGAAAGGGGTTGTAGACAAGGTGATCCTATTTCACCGTACCTTTTTTTTTTACTTTGTGCAGAGATTCTAGGTATTTTAATTAGCAAAAATAAGGATATTAAAGGTATAACTATTGATGGTGAAGAATACAAGTTGTCCCAATTTGCAGATGATACATCTGTTATTTCTGATGGCTCTCCAAGCTCATTGGTTGGAATTACGAGTGTTAGATTATTTTGCATCAATATCGGGTCTAAAAATAAATTTTTCTAAAACTAAATTAGTCTGGATTGGAAGTAAAAAAATCTCAAAAGATGTATTTCATCACTCAAGATGGAAGTATGATCCCAGTAATACATCCTTAGATTTACTAGGTGTTAAGTTTTCTGTTGATTTATATGAGATGGTAGATATTATTTACAAATTAAAAATTGAAGAAATTAAAAAAAAACATGTTACAATGGAAAGCTCGCAAACTTACTCCTCTTGGAAGACTGACTGTAATAAAAACATTACTAATTCCTAAACTAAATCATCTTGTCCTCACTTTACCAAATCCTAACGATGATGTCATGAGTGCTTTTGAAAAAGACTTGTATAATTTTCTATGGATAAAAATCATAAGGTTAAGAAAAATGTACTGATTCAAGAGCATAAATTTGGGGGCTTAAAAATAATAGACTATCAAAATTTTGTTACATCATTGAAATCTAGTTGGATAAGACGGGTTATGTGCTCAAGTGCAAAATGGTCTAAATTACATGAAGCAGAATAGGGAATAAGTATAAATCATCTTTGGCTGTTTGGAATTGACTTTATTAAGAATCTGAGTAGTACCACGAAAAATAAGTTTTAGCAAGATTTTTTCTCTAGCTGGTGTAAAGTAAATCAGGCTAAAGCTATAGCTGATTTAAGTACTCTCCAAGAACACATATGGCATAATCCGGGAGTTACCATTGGTGGCCAGTCAATTTTATATAGCCCCGCCCTAGCACTAGAACCCCTGACCCTGGGGCCATGAATTTCATAATTTTGGTAGAGGACTCAATGCTTATTACATTCATGCCAACAGTTTGCCTGCTTGATGTCCATAAGTAAAGAAGAAGATTTTAAAAAATTGCAATAATTTTAGTGGTTTTGGCCCCACCCCTCAAGCCCCAGTAGGGAAGGGACCATTATATTCACAATTTTTGTTCCCCTTAACCCATAGATGCTGTATATTGAATTTGATTGAAATTGGCTCAGTGGTTTCAGAGAAGAAGCTGAAAATGTTCAAATGTTAACAAACGACACACGACGCACGAAGCACGACGGACGAAAACGGAGAGCAATAGGTCATCCGAGTTACTCAGGTGACCTAAAAATAATGGAACACTTCAAGAAAATAATAGTGTTACCGATAGATTTTAACCTTGAATAGGTCATATATGTAGCATAGTGCCACAATTTCATACTCGCTATTAATGAAAGTGTCATAAAATGAATGGAAATGATAATACGTACCCAATGTACATAAATGGCTAGCGTTCCCAATAAGTATTTTTATTTTTTTGTTCGTGTCTAGTAAATTATAACGACCATCTGCATCCGCGAACGGAAATGTTCCACCTGTCACTAAAGTAAGAGGATCTTCATCTACATTGTATTTTAGTATATATAAACCATTTTTAAAACTTTTAAATACACAAATGTCTAACTAAATTAAATATTTTCATGTTTTCTTTTAAATCTTCATCGACAAAAATTTAGATAGCAAATATTATACAGTAATTTTAATTGTCATGTATTTACAGCGATATTTTTTGGTATTTTACCTTCCTGTCCCCTCTCAGTGCATTGAATTGCTTCCACAAGTTGTGTTTGTGTTCCATGGTCCTCTTCATCGGTCGTCTCACCATTTTGCCTCTTAATCTTTCTACCAGATCCAGAGTCGTTATCTACGAAAGCCCATTGAGCTCATTTTGGTAGGTAAAAAAAAAAATTTCGCGTTATAACGCGAAACTTTCGCGAATAAACGCGTAACTTTCGCGTTATAACGCGTTACTTTCGCGAATAAAGGCGAAAATTTCGCGAATAAAACGCGTTACTTTCGCGTTATAACGCGAAACTTTCGCGAATAAACGCGTAACTTTCGCGATATAGCGCGTAACTTCTGCTGTTTAACCAAGACATTTGCTTAAGTCTCAACTTTCTTTTGATTTTGTGATGAAGTTTTTTTATGACAATGATTAGCAATTAAAAGCTATTTAAAACTTAGACTATCTTAGGCTACAAGTTTAAGTTTTCTTCCTATTGAATCCATCTTTACCGTTATGGATGGTCTTTCTCAGCGCTGTTCAAAGAATTCAAGGATTATGCGAGTTTTACAAAAGTTAAACTTCAATCCCTATGATTATACATATAAAGATTATGAATTTCGGGAAAATCACCCTTTCTGGCGTCTTTATTTATGCACTCTCTAGAAAATTTGAAATAATTTTATTTTATAAAGAACAAGATCTCAGAATTGTGAAAATTGGATAGTAGATTTTCATTTGTCTCCGTTAGATTCAATATAGAAATACGATATCGGAAAAATTTGACAATTATTAATTCAAAGTGTACAAACTCTGCCGTATATACCTTGATCGTTTTAATTTTTGGCCCTAGTCCACGAATTTCTCTATAACCCCTCCGGATAAATTTGTAATTAACAACATGCAATTATAATTTGTATTTAAATAGCATCATATGGCCCGTCAAGCTCATGAAGTGATACACTGTTCATTAACTTTTAAGTTATGTTTCAATAGGGTAAAAATTTTAGTCCAGAATGATTGATTGCTTAATTAACTAGTGGTACAGTTGTGCATGTAGAAGGTTTTCTTGATTAAAAAACAGCCTGAAAAAAAGTTTCAAGTGGAGATATTTCTTTAAAAATAATCAGTCTAAAGAATTTCTTGAATTTAAAATTTGTAAAACATGTAAAAGAAAAAAAAACATTTTATAAATTAGTAAGGATTAGAGATAGAAGAAAATATTCTGATGACTAATCTATTCTATTCTCGCATCATTTCTCCAGTACATTTTCTGAAGAAATCATATTTCTTAAATAAGTTGCTGAGAGTTCCGGTCTGTTTTCTTGTTCTTATCTGTCAATCAAGATCAAGGTTCCTGAGTAACATTATTATATATGCATATTATTTCGCGAAAACGCGAAATTTTAACGCGTTACGCGTTTATTCGCGAAAGTTTCGCGTTATAACGCGAAAGTTACGCGTTTATTCGCGAAAGTTTCGCGTTTATTCGTGAAAGTTGCGCGTTTATTCGCGAAAGTTTCGCGTTATAACGCGAAAAATTTATTTTTTTACCTACCAAAATGAGCTCAATGGGCTTCCGAAGTTATCTACGTAATAAAAGATTTAAAAATTGATTTAAAAAAGCGCGCTTTATTATTTATAAAGCACATTTTACAACAACTCTTAAACTAATATAACGGAATTATAAAGTGAATTTCTTTGTGTTATCTATATTAATATTTCTTCACTTAGGGCAGTTATATTAGTTTAAGAGTTCTTGTAAAATGTGCTTTATGAATAATAATTAATTTCATTACAACATGTATTGGTAACAATCTTCTGTTAAAACCAATGTCCAAATAACTGTACCTCACTTCTATTCTCAATGACCGTGTAGTGTAGGGCAGCGCCGCGAGAATTCCATCGGCATCGAAAGCAAGTTTTTTGACTTGCCTAGATAGCCGGGTGGACTAGCGCGCTGTTCCTGCACTGCTGCGAAGCGGTTTATAAAAAAGCGTAAACTGCCCCAAGTTTTGTTATATCGTATAATATAAGTTAAAAATAAGCTTCATTCCTTATAATTTAATTTCAGTGAGACAATGAGATAATTTTCTCCCCAGAATAAGGCTTCACAATGATTAAATTTTAAAAGTAACGTCAAGCGGAGTAATACGTTTTTTGACGTAACTCATTGTGACGTAGGCAAGTTATGTTATACAAAATGGATAAAATCTTTTATCCAATCAAATGAAGTGTTACGAGTAAAATTAAATTATTTAGAATTGTACAAATATGTAGTCTAACACATTAAGTTAGAAACAAGTACCATGCGAGATCCGTGTTAGCGTATTTAAGGAGGCGAGGTTTGATTGGAGAGGGTAACGGGGTTGTAACCCCCTCTTTTAACTTTAAAGCTAATAATTATATGTACATATTATACACGTGCGTGTTCCCACACAAAATCAAGCGCTAACTTTTGCTGTGTAGGATTAGAGATTAAGGATTTTAAGGAATAAAGTGAGGATGAAATACATCGAATATTTTCCAGAATAGGAGTTTACACAGTACTTCATAACGAGTATGTACACGCTGATACAGATTATACATGTATCTATTATGATCAAAGAAGAGGAGAGGACTATATTGCAAGCATTTCTAACACAGAGACGTAAAACATAGTAACGTAAAAAGTTGGCACTTTTATGCCCCAATATCTAAGATAAGGGATATATTGTTTTAGTTTCTTTTGTCATTCCGTATTTCAGATAATCGTCCACAAACTGCTACTTTTATTACTGAAACTGATTTGATTAAATTCTCCTTTTTTACATACTAGTAAACGTATTCAATTGTATTGTGCAGTAAAACTGAAAAGAAAAATTCCAAAATAATAAATACATGGAGAGTAATACATGTAATTAGTTTGTTTCACAATTTTGGTTCGATGGTAAGACTCCTGTTGCTGAAAGTTTTTCTTTGATTCATAAATACGATGTTTATTTAATGAGACTGTGTAACCGCTTTCGGAATTTCATCAGAGTGTTGATTGATCGAGAATTCGAGAATTTGTCATTCTTACAGAGACAAAGTCATGTATCGGTGAAGGGCTTTAAATTCATAACTTCACTCAGTATTCAGGTCCATTGAGCAGTGAAATCTCTATCATGCCAAGACCTGCCATGACGTGAGCTTGGCGGACCCCCCCCCCAACATTCACTTCAGAGTTTTTTATCGAAATAAGACAGTCGCGACCAGGGCTCAAGACTACGACCTTTCGTTCAAGCTCTAGCGAATTCTCATAAATGGATCTAAAGTAATTTATAAGAGGCTTCTAAAACAACAATCTCATTGATCTGCCTATTGCATCAATTGCATTGGTAATTTCTGTATTCATATCAAATATATATCTCCCTGAAAAGAGGACAGCCTGTGTATTAAGAAGATATTGTATCTTGGTATTTTTTATCTACCGTAAAAGGGTAATTTCTGAAGCTTCACAATTTACATATAAGTTAAAATGTAAGAGCTATGGGAAATAATTTATACAGTTAAATTACGTTGCTTTTCTTGCTTCTATGCAATGTTTTTGGATTTGTAAAAATTTTCAAAAATGAATTCAAATGGGTAAAAGTGCTTTTTATCGGTAATATTAATTTTGGAGGCCTCCCTACAAGTTTCTGGTTACCAAAAACATATTATACAATTTTTGGAACACAAGCAAATTCAAAGAATTGTGGTTCCCCGCTTTCGGTGTCTTTGTGGGTGAGATGTTATTTTTTATGACATATTGTGTCTAATATGAACATCCTATCATATGTCATTTATTAAGAAATTATCATTGAAGTTTATTTTTTGAAGGATGAAAACCCTAATCCTGACCGTTAAAAAGTTATGGCCAAAGTTAAAGTTTTTAAAAGTAGTTCAAACTCCAATGTCAAGATCAAAAGGTCAAAGTTGTTGATAACCAATGAAAGAACTTCTCACAAGGATTACATATGTGAAGTATGAAAGCCCTAGCCCACACCGTTCAAAATTATGGCCAAAATTAAAGTTTTTTAAAAGTAGTTAAAACTCCAATGTCAAGGTCAAAAGGTCAAACTTGTTAGTATCCAATGAAAGGTCTTGCCACAAAGAATAAATATGTGAAAAATGAAAGTCCTAGTACCTAGTACGCGAAAGCGGGGGACAAAAACCTTTCAATGATAAAAAAAACACCCAAAAAAATAATTATAAATTTATGTTCCTCAATGAATAAATATTCATTTAGATTCTGCAAGCCAAAAAATCCATATCAGATACATTGATTATGATGCTACATTTAGTATTAAAATATACGATCAAATATATGTTGGAAGGAGTCAAGTACAAAGTCATTCCACCTCCTTATATTTGAAAGTATAAAAAAAGTATATATTAAGGAAAGAGAGAAAAAAGATTTTATTGTATTAGAAAGTAGGGGTCCGATTTCTATGGGGGTAATTTTTCAACGTGTGTGGAATCGTAGAATCACTGTTCTTGAATGGATTTCTACGGTCGAAAAATGACTCTACTTGACGTAGAATATTGACCCTGGATTACTGTCTATGTAGAAAAATGACCTCCTGGTCAATATTCTACGGGGGTCACTTTCGCTTCATCGGATCAATCGGTGACACAAACATCTTCTGGATTTGTTTCCGAGATATCATGTATACCGGGTATTTTCAATCAATTTAATTCTACTTTTCAGTCGACATGTTAATAGATTTTGGGCAATTTTTTAAGTATCTTAGATAGCACTTTTATCATCAAAACTTCTGAATTATATGCATTAACTTTATCAATTATTTTGTTAGTCCAATAATGACTTTAAAAATGATTTGACGGTTCTAAATTAAGTCTACACCCTCCATAAAGTTTGCAACTCGTTCCCTTTTTTAATTCAATTCTTAGTGGACAAAAATTTAAAGTAAGTCCTATAATGAAATAAATTAAATTTTAAACATCGAGATTCTGTTAAACGTACCGTCTTTTCGTGGATTTTCTCCACCTTCCGCCATTCTTACCAATTACCATACAAAATCTCGGGATACAAATGCACCCACTAGAAAGAACCTAAAAAACAAAGAAACAAATGTAGTTCATTTCGTAAAGAGGTGTATGTTGTTATGAGACATTCGGGTTATATTTTGTATATAAAACAAATAGTATTCAAAGAAGACGTGTTTGATACACAAAAACACCATGCGAACGGTAAGTTTTAATGAAAGAAATAAATGGAATGGGTTTAAACTATTGAAAATAAAAATGGTAACTAAGTAACTTTCAAAGAGGATAGTCTAATTGCATAAAATAAATACTTCCATTTAAATCTTAAGAATGTTCATTCCATTATGAAATATTTTCGAAAATGTCAATGTAGTGATTAATTAAATAGATAAATTTTCTAGTCTTACAAAAAAAAAACAAGATTGTTCTTTATATTTACATCAATGCATTTCTCCCGGATGTTAAAGGAATTTTTTTCTATAAATGTAAGCATTTTTAAAGCACCCATATTACAGAAATGATATTCATTTTGTGTGAAAATGTAGGATTTATTTACTTTTGTTTCATCACTGCTTATATTGCAGCATACTAAAGTTATGAGTTTAAGTGTAAGACAGACTTAAGTAATTTTTTTTCCAAAAGATATGTTTATCATTTTGAAATTCTTTACTGGCGTGATAAATTTTACATAGTTTTAGTATTTGAAAGGATTTGTATATTAACCGTATATTACTCGCTTATACATGTAAATCGGCACTCCTATAAGATGGTTGTGATTTTTATACCCCCCGCTTGAAAAGCGGGAGGGTATATAGTAATCAGTATTTCCGTCCGTCTGTACGTCTGTCCGTCCTTCCGTCTGTCCGTCCGTCCGTCTGTTACGCTTTGGGGTACCCATCTCTTATCCGCAACTCCTCTCATACCACTGAAGGAAATTTAATGAAACTTTCACAGAATCTTTATTACAAATTGCCATTGTGCACCTCCTATTTTACTTGTTGATCTGACATATATTTTGGATTTTCCAGAGCAAAACATGGATACTGCCAATATATTCATATGGGAGGCGGGGGGTATCATTTAGTGAGCTCATTGCTCACAGTACCTCTAGTTACAGTTTTTGACCGCTAATAAGTCGGTCCAACTTTTGCCAAGATTAGTTAACAATTTTAAATCAAAACTGTAACGTTTATGCAAGGTTTCAATCAAAACATCGACGTCGGAATTTAATTCTAAATCATAAAAAAATATGTAATGCCTACTGAAAAATAATACTTGCATTTTATGCATAATCTTATAATACTACCTTTTGTCGTCCAGAAAATAAAACCAATCTTTTAATAACTCGCCTATAAGTCAGAAACTGAGTATTAAAATCTGTACTCTCCATATTTACCTTATCAGTATAAAGAATGGACTCTGTGAACATGAAATATCACAAATTTTAAATAACTTGTCATCGTATTTCATCTCGAAAATGAAAGAAAAATTGTGGAATAAATATTCTTAGCACCCTTTAGTTTATTTACCTTGATGATGTAACGCTATAGTGGATCTAGAAGACAGGGTTAACTCCACTTTTAAACCTGAGTCAACAATACTAAACTTGAAATTTAAGTTTTATAAATTTATTGAGTCTGCAAAACCAACATAAAAAATTTTAATGCCAAAAAAAAAAAAATATCCAGGCCTTTTAACCACCCTTTTTACTGACAAATATCACAATATTAATTGAATTCCAAATAAATAGCCGGATCTCGAAATAATCGAAATATATGGCTGAAACCTATCTTTTAAACTTATATATAATTATCAATGAATAAAAGATGATTAACAACTGGAAATTCAGTTACGATCGGATCCTGAAATAATCAAGATATATGATCGTAAATAAACCCCCAAAGCAGGTAAAACTAAACTTTCCCCAATTAAATTAAACCAATTACCAAATTACAATTAACTGATTTAACAATTAGCAAATAATTACCAATTTCGTCTAAAAGCCCAAAATAATTACGTTAACCCTAACATCAAAAATAGCAGACTCCTCGATTTACGGAAGAATCTCCCCTTTTCACCATAAAATAACTTGACTTTCATTCATTCAACAATGATTAGTTAATTAATTAACTACCTTATAACTGTTCATTTTCACTTCTTTTGAAAACCACAAGGGCGTACAAATATACATCGCGGATCAAGAGTAAAATAAACCGAAAGTATACCATAATGAAATGCGCCGCCATGTAAATAGAAAAAATAGACTGTCTGCAAGACTACAACATGTGTTAGCACAATGTAATTTAATCAAAACATCTAGCAGTCCATACTCTTTTAACAGCACTTATACAATTATTTCAGCAAGAACATCATTAATTACGAAAGGATATTCATGTATTACATGTACTCGTTCTACTTTCACTTTCCATACGATGACATGAGAAGTTGTGTATCCAATTTTAGAACATCACATAATAAATGTACAATACATCTGATCAAATTACTCAAATTGTGAACAATACAAAGTGCTAAACCAATATGCCAAGATTTGTAACTCAAAGAAAACAAAACATGGGGACTTGAAATGACCAAACTTTACAATGATATTGAATTAATAGATCTAAAATGTATGGTTGTTCAATGTTTACATTTTTCATCGATTGTAAGCAAGAGAGTGAATCCGAGTAAGTTGTAAAATTTGTACGCCGTGGAAGATTTCATATATTCAAAAGCAAGCTGTATGCATATCGCCTTTGCTTCTGCTGTAAAAATAGTTGTTCCATAAGGAAGTCGTGTATAAAAAAACACATGAAGTTGCTACCTTTTTCAGGAGAAACATACATGTATCCATACCTTTTAACAGAAATGTGTGAATGCACCTATGTACATATTATATGCAGAGGAAATTTTCCGATTGTGTAAAGATGAATTATGACTACCTAAATGATGATAGAAAAAAATGACTCACTAACCAATAGAAAAAAGTGTTGATGATATGCTTGTAAAATATATAAATAAAATGATATGATCTGACAATTTGAACACACTTGAATATACACCACCACATGAAAATCCTAAACAACATTGTAGAGAATATTAAGATTTTCGAAAAGAGGGTGTTGCAGTTCTTTTGTTATTTTCCCTAAATGTGTAGCCGATTAAAAGGAGAATTTTTAAGTTGCAGAAACTCATATTATTTTTTTTTCAAATGCAACAATGTATAAAGCACAACGAGAAACAATATTTGGATGGTGTGTATTGACTTCCAATTTGCCAATAAATGATGTGAAAATTAGTTTAATGACAAATTATATCAGATTTTCCGTTTTTTAAATAGGGAATCCCCATTGTTCTGAAAAAGTGCCTCCTTGAAACAAAATAATTTTGATATATAAACAAAGAGGCAAGAATTTCCTTCAAAACTGTCATTTCCAATTTTTGTTTCAAAGAGGCACATTTTTGAAAAACGTAAAAATTGAATAAAAATTAATCTCCAAACGAAATACAAAATGTGTACTTTAAATAACACTCAATACCAGTGTGTCCGAAATGGTCTAGTGGATATGCTGGTGGGCTTCCAACTAGAACTTTTACCAGAGAATGGGTTCGAAACATGGTATGCATCATTTTTGCATATTTTTCCCATATGTAATGGGAGTGCAATGAAATTATATATATTTTGAAAGAGAGAGAGAGAGGGGGGGATAGAGAGAGAGAATGTCAAGAAATTTATTGAGTAATAACTGATCTATATATTAGAAATGCAGCATTAAATGTGTTTTTCCTTGATATGCTGTGACTAAAAACTTAATATGCTTTTTTAGTTTTGTCTTGGAAAATAAAGTTACTGCATTGTTTAAATAATATATTTTTTACATACTGTAGTTATTGCAAATTTGGTCTCTTAGTTAGTAGCCAAGATTTGATTTGAAACAAATAAAATGTCTTGGATGTAGCACCAAGTTTGATTATGGGACTCAGTTTTATTTCATGAAAAATATTTTCGCACGATTTCTACAGTATATCTTTCAAAATGCTGCTTTAGCCATTGTGCTTTTTGTTGTTCCAAACTCTTTCGTGCAAAATGACGAAAGTGTTTTGCTGTTTCAAGCAGGAAATACCCGCGGTAAACATTAAGTCATAACGAGGGTATTTAAAGCTGACATGAACTCTCAAAAAGGCATCATTTTTCATCTTTGTACGACTTACTACATTCCTGCTCGCCTTTGTCCGCCATATTTCTTCGATTCCGCCATATTTAATCGAAAATTTTTGGTCACCTGTACCTGCTATATATACCCTTGTACAATTGTTTCACTTGAGTGATTTTCTAGCCTGCCTGTCGACATGCACACTTCTCCAATAGCATAGTTTACAGGCCGGTGTAAAGACGAATAATGACTCCCATCGAAAAATGACTGGGGGTCATTTTTCAACGACAAAAAATGACCCCCTACCCGTAGAAAAAAAATCATTTTTTGTAGAAAAAGTGTCCAAGGGATCATTATTTTATATGTTAGTCCTATAAAAAATTGACCCCAATTGAAAAATAACACCCTTTAAAGTAAAAAGAGATTCTTAAATTGTCAATTAAATAAAATTTCTCTTTAATATTCCTCCTTATAGTGTTTGCTTAAAGAATGATATTCCACTTGTTTTTAGAAATCAAACCATGCAACAATCAGATTCCAATACTCTTTAATAGAAAAAATTATTTTTTCTTCATTTCAACTTTATAGCTTGTATAAGTTTGGCAAATCCTATTTGACAATGAAAGAGGAGGAAATTTTTAACCCCCCCCCCAAAAAAAAATAACGTTTAATCAAAACAAACAAAAAATGAAAAGCAAAAATATTAATAAAACTCTATACCTTTCAATAATACTGAAAGAGGCTCTAGATAAAATGCAGAAATGAAGCTAAGCCTTCACACAAGTTCAATCATATCATAATTTACTTCGCCATGATTAAAGCATACTTTAAATACTTGAAAGTATTGTGTCAGAGTAACAGTTGAAAATTAGTAGAATAGTGGATTATTTTAAGCTTATGTTTAGTGCCTCCTTATAGAAAAATAAAGGTAGGGTAGTTTTTTTTTGTTCTTGTTGTTGCTTTTGTTGATAATCAACTTCCTCCTAAATAAGTAAGGGGTGGGTATAACACCTAAAAATATGCTCTGTAAAGCGGACTAGTGTAAAATACACATTCTAATGCAAAAACTATACATGTAGACATAACCTTTTAATTTAGCACACAGTATTCATTACATTTCTTAATTCTTGTTTTACTCCACGATTTTCCCCAGTCCTGAGTATATTTTTCAGATAATTTAATAATTATGAGAATCAGAACAAACATTTACATTTTTTTAACTGTATCATTATATGAAAAGTTAATTGAAGACCATTTCTTTTTATGTCCCTGTATTCGAAGATTCGGGGGTATATAGTTTTATCGTGTCCGTCTGTATGTCTGTCTGTCTATCTGGCGGTCTTCTTTTCTTTTATTGTAGCTATGTCTTTCATATTCAATTTGTGTACATTCCTTGTGACGAGACCTTACTTAGGGTGCCACCAAATTTGACCTTTTGACTTTACCTTGGAGTTTGTCCCATTTTACACAAAAGTGCCAAATTTTTAATTAATTTACTTTGGCTATAACTTTTAAACGGTAGAACTAGTACTCTCATACTTACAAATGTAATCCTTGTTACATTAAACCTTTCTTAAGAAACCATCAACTTTGACCCTTTGACCTGTGAGTTTGACCTACCTTTCAAACACTTATCCTTAGCCATTAATTTGAACAATTGGTGCTAGGGCTTTCTTATTTTGCAATTTTATTTCTTGTGAGAAGACCCTTCTTTGGGTACCATTATATTTAAATTGCCTTTAAGAAAAGTTTAATCTTCGCTATGTTGCCATACAGGGGCATGGCTGTTTTACAAATACATATTTTTATATATAAGAGGGGTTGCAGATAACGGATGGATATCCCAAAGCGTAACAGATGGACGGACATCCCAATCACTATATACCCTCCCGCTTTTCAAGCGGAGAATAAAATATGATACTGATAATTTTTTCTATCAGTACAATGATTCCCACCATCGAAAAACAATGTTTACCTAACCCTTTAGGCTCGATAAATCTTTACTCCTTTAGATTCTGAATCATCGCATTGACCTTAAAATATAGCTATAATCGTATGTTATGAGATCAACATATCATCAATTTATTCCAGATAAGCTCAGGTAAGCATTTTGGCCATTATGCTTCTTTATCTAATTTTTTTTTGCCCCCTAAAAATTTCAGTTTTAATCAACAGAGAGTCATTTTTCTACGAGGGTCATTTTTCTTCACGTGGGTTCTGCAAATTTTTAGGATGATAATACTTTTTCTACGGGCAAAAGGGTCATTTTTCTACCTCGAATAATGACCGGGGGTTATTTATCGCTGTCGAAAAATGACCCCCGGTCATTATTCGATGGGGGTCATTATTCGTCTTTACACCGGTACATACGGTAAGGCTTGCCTTATAAGTCTTAAATCTTACATTTTGCAGGGCGTACACGCCAAGGCAAGACTTACAATATTATAAACAACATTTACATAAATTCCATGTGTTTTGAGCCATAAACATTGCACAATATTTAACAGAATAATAGATTACTAGCTATAGGACTTTGAAGTAATTTTACTGCGATAGCATTCACACTTCTTAACAAAGAGGAGGAGGTTAACATTATCTTACATGTCTTATTCGACTATACTTTTTCAGGTCGAGACCACTAGATTTTCTGACGTCAGAATAAATATGTTTACTTTACCTATTGCTGAATGAGCCGAAATGCATTGTGGGCTACTACAAGTACCTAGCTATGTTGAAAATTAAAGGCAACTTAAATTGTCCCTTGGAAACTTATTTTCAATTCTTTTTTTAAATTTGTGAGAGAAATATTTAAAATGATGTATAATCTTTGATTTTTATGCTCACATTTACAAAATTTGCTTTATGAAGCCTTATATCAACTTATAATACATCGGCCTAATATACCATTGTTCAAAGAGACGTATACGTGCTTTCGTGTCGATAAAACATTGAGTTTTTTTTCACGTGATACACGTGTACGTATAGCTTTCCCAGGTAGTATATAGGTCCTTGTTTTTAGACAGCAGGAGAAAGTGTGCAATTATTATTTATAGCCTCAATATTATCAGAAAGTGTTTTATGCATAAGCAAAAGTCAAAGCGTTTGTACGGTATTCGACGCACCTGTTAATCATCTAAAACAACTCCAATATTAAATGTGAGCATGGAGCATCACTTTAGAATATAATCTTTCAATTTCGGTCTAATAAAGTTATAAAGAAGCTCTACAGTATTTCCGGTGACGAGTTAAATTTTGTCCAGTAAACCGACGAAAACCACGTGTAGCCATTGAATCGTAAACACGTGGTAGACTGTTATGCTTTGGGACTCTTTCAATTGATTGGAGAATGGGCGTGACGAAGACATCGTCACGTATTGAAAATTGCCTTCCATATAAGGTAGTGGTCTCGACCTGTTTATGTTCCTTTCAATATACGTATTTATTAATGTTACGCAAACACGTGTTTGTGTTTGTTTATTCTTGTCATCTATTGGCTGTTAGAATGGTCACCTAGTCAGGTGACATAAATATTCATAGCACGGGCTATTAGTGACCGTGAAAGAAATTCTGTATAGGTAAAGCCATTCGAAGGCCCTATTTCGTGCAGTCTACACGTTTTTCTTCATTCATTATATTCAGTCGATTATGGGCGATTGTGGAGACGAAATTTTGCTAGTGACTAATAATAATCCTCCGTAATCCTCCGTTTGATATTTCGGACGTGGTGAAGCTTGTTACAGGGGTTTTGCAGTCACAATTTCAAAACCTTTCAGGTCAGCTTAAAGTAGAACAGTCGGAGTCTATTGCTAAGAAACTTTAAGAAAACTCTTCTCTTAAGATTAAATCTGAAGGGAATCGCGCTCAGTACGGTTTTAATGCTGAAATTCTTGAGGGTCTAGAAAAACTAGGGATAAGAGCTTTCGAAAATAAAGACAGTGAATCAGTGTCAATAATAGGCGAATTGCAGAAAAAGCTGAAAACGCGCCAGAAATACATTCGTATTGCCGATTCATCTCCTGCAGGTGGAAGACAGTAAATGAGTATCAGTCCAGAGAAATTGCCGACAACTCTGACGATGAGAAGAAAATTAGAAGCACTGAAAACCGAGCCCTTAGGCAGCAAAGACAAGCCCAGAACAAGCGTTTCCACCCGTATGGCTCCTACAGAGCTTCTACATCGACAGCAGCGGCAGGCTCAGCAGCCCAGCTTACTTCTGGTTCTTCCTCTACTGCTACATCTCAGCCATATACATATCAGCAGCAGCCCTTTCGTGGCAAACTCACAAGGCGTCAACCACAGCCCAGTGACGTATGCTTCAACTGTTTTTCCACTGGACACTGGAAAACCAACTGCCCCCAAAACAAGTCACAAAGTCAATGATAAGTATACAGGTTATACAAGCTATTCTACTCTTGCTGGCCAGGTGAAATGCCTTCAGAAAAATAATTCAAAACAAATGTCATTGATAAAGTACAATTTGAAAAGAAATGTTAGCAAATGGAGAGAAATTGGCACAAATTCTTTTATTTTGAAAGTTATTGAATCTGGATATGAAATTCCTTTCGTTTCACATCCTCCTTCTATGTGTTTTCAAAATAACAAGTCTGCTATAAACAATTTTGAATTTGTTACTTCAAAGATTTCAGATTTGATGGAAAACTAACGTATTTTAGAAGTTCCTTTTCAGCCATTTGTGTGCAGTCCACTGAGTGTCGCCGAAAACAAAAACAAAAAGAGGTTGATCCTTGATCTCAGTAGGCTAAATAAATATGTCAAGTATGATAAAATAAAATTTGAAGACTGGAAGACGGCATTAGATTATTTTGAAAAGGGTTTTTACTGTATTAAATTCGATCTGAAATCAGGGTATCATCACATAGATATAGCTGAGAATTATCAGACTTATTTAGGATTCCAGTGGGAAAACAAGTATTACTGCTATACGGTTCTCCCTTTTGGTCTATCGTCAGCACCATTCATTTTTACTAAATGCTTAAGACCCATCGTGAAATACTTGAGAAAAAATGGCATTTTGATTGTATTATATTTAGATGATGGTTTGGCGTTCGCTTCTACTGAGGACCAATGTCTTTTAGATTCTCAATTCATTCAGAAAACGTTGTCAGAAGTTGGTCTGGTGGTCAATGTTGAAAAATCACATTTTATACCAATACAAGTCATTGAATGGTTAGGTTTAACATGGAATTCAAATCTATTCTCTATTTCAGTTCCGGATAGACGAATCGATGATGCTATCTGTTGTCTACAGAAAACTATCACTCATTTTCCCGATGTAACAGCGAGGGAACTTGCAAGAGTAGTGGGGAAGATCATTTCTATGACTCCAGTAATGGGTAACATTTGCAATATTATGACAAGGTTTTCTTCTATGGAAATTGCTTTGAAAGAATCATGGGATTCTAAACTATTTTTCAAGCATAAAGATCAAGTGTTTGAAGAACTAAAATTTTGGGTAGAATGTATGCGTTGTGACAGTACAAGATTTTTACATTCTGTTAAAAGAAAAAACGTAATCATTTATTCAGATGCAAGTAATTCAGCATCAAGTGCATATACAGTTGAAGTTAATTCTAAGGTGTTCCATTTGATGTGGAAAGAACATGAGAAAAGTATGAGTTCTACATGGAGAGAGTTGAAGACCATAGAATTGGCGTTGGCTTCTTTTAAGAAAGAACTACAAAATATGACAGTAAAGTGGTTTACTGATAATCAAAGTTGTGCGAAAATAGTACACTCTGGTAGCATGAAGCATCACTTACAAGTTTTAGCATATAGTATTTTCAAAATGTGTGCCGAAAATAAAATTTCCCTTGATGTTCAATGGGTTCAGTGATCAAGAAAATGAAAAGGCAGATTTTTTCAGTAAAATTATTGATCACGATGATTTGGGAAGTTACAAATGAATTTTTTCAATTTATTAGTTCTATGTTTGGTCCTTTCTCTGCAGATAGATTCGCAAACTTTAACAATCGTAAACTTACTAGATATAACTCAAAATTTTGGAATCCTGAATCAGAGGCTGTAGATTGTTTTACACAGAATTGGGTGGGCGAAAACAATTGGCTAGTCCTCCCATTCATTTGATAGTTTCTACTATAAAACATTTATTAGATTGCAAAGCCTATGGTATTTTGATTGTACCTAACTAGCCCTCAGCTGTTTTTTGGCCAATGTTATTCGATTCAGAACTATCTTATAAGGCGTATGTTAAAGATGTGTTATTGTTTAAAGATAGGAGTGAGATAATCAGTCAAGGTCATAACAAGAACTGTATCTTTCGTTCTATATGTTGGCTCTGGAATACTTGTGGTATGTTTAGAGGCTACAAATTTGTAGTTTATGATGGTGTATTGCAGATGGTTTAGGCCCTGGTACACTTTAAACAAAGATTTTTGCCGAGCTGGGCAAATGTGTAGATGATGTATTGCAGATGACAAGTGGTTCTGGTACATCAGAGAGGGTGTATTGCAGATGATGAAGGTCCTGATACAACATATAATATGTTAAAGTTAGAAGATGCTAATTTTTTGCTTTAATAAACACATTTTTCAGATATATTTAAAGTGGGCAGATGGACGGGAACTAATTGTGGATTACAGGATCATCGTCTAGCGGAACTTGCGTCTGAACTACCCAGATATTGTGTAACATCTAAGGCCTTTGCATTCAGCAAAACAGTACAGGTACGCTTTAATACCTTTTGTAAGTGGTGTAGCGGCTTTAACCCTGGGATTCAATCACTTCCTGCTTCGGAAATCAACGTTGCACTATATATTATCCATTTAGCAAAACAATGTAAATCGTCTGGCACAATTCATTCAGCTATACATGCCATCAGTTGGGCACATAGCCTAGCAGGTTATATAGATCCTTGTGACTCAGCTTTGGTAAAAACTGTTAAGGAAGGGGCAGTTAGAGAGACATCGAAACCAGTGATTAAAAAAGAACATATAACGCCTGAACATTTGAAAACTCTGGTTTCTACATTTGGAGAGGATGGAAATTTATATAATTTAAGAACATTGTGTATGTGCTTATTAGCTTTTGCAGGATTTTTCAGATTTTCAGAAATAGTTAATATTCGTTACTCAGATATCTGTATACAGACTAATTGTGTAGAAATTAACATTGTTAAAAGTAAAACAGATGTTTATAAAACTGGTCATAAAGTTTGTATTGCTAGAACATTTTGTGATACCTGTCCTGTAAATATAAAGTTTTTAATTTATAAACACTGAGCATGCATTATCCTGTGTTCTTGTTTAGATCTCTGTCATTTTGTAAAAAATTCCCAAACTTATAAACTGACGAAATCGGGTAATTCGTCCAATTTTTTATACAAGAGCAAGAGAAATCATATTGGATTCACTTGAAGGGTTCAACTAAAGCAAGTAGATTTTCTATCCCAGTCGTTGCGGTCTCAGGTAACCCTCAGCCGCAGCAGGAGTTAGCGACAGACTCGTTTAAAAAGCATGGGCGGTGGAGGTCAGACAATTCTAAAGATGGTTATGTTAAAGAAAATCAAAATGAAAAACTTTCAGTTACTAAAAATTTGGGCATTTAGGATATTCGTGTCAGTTCTAATCTTCTTAATCGTCGAAATAATTAAACTGCACTTTCAGAGCGCTTCACATCCTATTTCACGAGTTTGTGTTTATTTTATAAATATTTTATGTTCGTTTGAGTGAAACGAATAAGAACATAAACGTATTTATTAATGTTACGCAAACACGTGTTTGTGTTTGTTTATTCTCGTCATGTATTGGTTGTTAGGACGGTCACCTTATCAGGTGACATAAATATTCATAGCACGGGCTATTAGTGACCATGAAAGAAATTTTGTATAGGGAAAACCATTCGAAGGCTCTGTTTCGTGCAGTCTTATAAGTCCCACACACCCGCCCATCGCTTAGTTTTGAATATTATACTAGATTTATACTTTGTTGAAAATATTTATTTTTGATTTAATTTGGACATTGATGAGGACAATAGAAAAAGAGATATAATATGTATTGTGTGTAATAATTAAACTGCACTTTCAGAGCGCTTCATATCCTATTTCACGAGTTTGTGTTTATTTCATAAATGTTTTATGTTCGTTTGAATGAAACGAATAAGAACATAAACCAACGTGTATGGTTTTATAAAAATAGACTGAACTTTAAGTGGAAGGTTTTCATTGGTTAAGAAATAAAAGTCAGCTAAGTCTTGTATTAAGAAATGGAGCAGTGTTCTATTCCTAAGTCAAACTTATAAGGCTCGAAAAAACGTGTATATGGGTGTACACACGGTAAGGCTAGAACGTAAGTTCCATGACTTATAAGGCAAGCCTTACCGTGTACCGGCCTTTAGAAGACCATAAACTACCAAATACATGTTTGAAAAGTATAAATTCAACAACAAAATAGAACTATACCGAGAATTAAATTATTTTTGAATGCATTTGCTGCAATATAGATAACACTAACACGGAATACATTCATGTACAGCAAAAATCCATGTAGGTCGAGAAAACGCGTCAAACGCAGTGATAAAAACGTTTACCTGAATACTGCTATCGTTACAGGGATGTGCACATTTCGAAAGAATTATCCTATTTTACTTTTATTGAAAAATGCATCTCAGAAGTAATGTAATCCATTGCTAACTAACAGTAAAAGATGCTTGGACACACATAGCCCATGCCAATCATTTTATTTGGTCAGGGAAAATATCAAAGGTTGAAAATTCAGTGGGGTTGATTGAAAAAAATGAAAGTATTTTTTTTTCAAAATAAACACTATTCTTGTCTTTAAATGTTGTAAATAAAATTAATGATTACATGGTTTAACTTCATCAAATTTATATTAAAGCATGCATTGTTACGAATCATTCACCTTTTGAAGATATTTTCCTGTGATAGGAGGGGGGCAGAAAAACATGCATTATCTGATAGCACTTCATCAAATAGACTAACAAAAAACATAAAACAAATTAATTGTTTATAATAAAATTATGTCAAATAAATACTGTGTGGCTTATTAGACCTAATATACTTTGATTAACATCTAACCCTAGCCCTAGTGCTAACCCTAACCCTAGCCCTAACCCTAACCCTAACCCTAACCCTAACCCTAACCCTAACCCTAACCCTAACATCTAACCCTAGCCCTAGTGCTAACCCTAACCCCTAATGCTTACCCTAACCCTAACCCTAGCCCGAGCCCTAGTACCTCATCCTATTGTTCCCTTAGCCCTGTAATGCTAACCCTAACCCTAAACCTAGCCCTAGCCCTAGCCCTCAGCCCTAACCTTAACCTTAACCCTAGCTTAACATCTTACCCTAGCCCTAGTGCTAACCCTAACCCTAAGTGTTCATTTAGTATAAATAATTAATGATTATAAAAAAACATATAGGAAGAAAGATCCACATTCTACCTACAATTAGCTTTTTAAAAATTCTCTTGTCTGTTGTCCACCATAAACTGTGAACAGACTTAAGTCAAAATTTAAAACCAGTGTAACATTTGAAATAATTTTGATAATGAGGCATAATTTACACCAAATATTTAAATTGAAGTGTTATAGAGAATTGCCAATTTTTAATCAAATACATCAAGCAGAACTCAAGAAATTTTAAAAATAAAAATTTTGACTTAAGTCTGTTCTCAGTTTATGGTCTCCAGGTTCGACAGGTTTGAGAAAGTTCACAATGTTCACATTCCTGTGATGTATATTTCACGTTTATTATACCACCCGCTTGTAAAGCGGGAGTGTATATACATGTAGTAATCGTTACGTCTGCCCGTCTGTCTGTTACGCTTTGTGGTACCAATCTCTTATCCGCAAATCCTCTTATACCTATGCTAGACACGGAACTCAGAACCATTGAGCTTAGAAGGATTTTTTATGTACCAGCGCTTACTGCAACATGGGACTTCGATTTATACAGTCTCATCCAAAGGAAATGTCTCCACGTCCAAAAGTGGAGTCCGAGCCCCCGAAGCAAGGATCAACTCAAGCATTGAACTCTAAGAACAAGAGCTCTTACCACTGCACCACTATCAAAATGAAAACTGAGAAGACGGTCGTTTGACCAGTACTATGTATGAAAGTAAACTACTCAGATTCATAACTCCACTTGTTTTAAGCTTGAATCATGCCTAACTTTGCGAAATTGTCCATGGATAGAAGGTACATTTATAAACTTCATAAGAAGTTTGTAAAAATCGTTGGTGCATTTAAGCACAGAATTATCGATAATATATATCAACACAATAAATTGCTAATTGTCCATGGATAGAAGGTACATTTATAAACTTCAAAAGAAGTTTGTAAAAATCGTTGGTGAATTTAAGCACAGAGATGATCCATAATATATATCAACACAATAAATTGTGAACCTATTAAAATAGTTGACTCCATTTTGTGGTGATCAGTAAGGATGTCAACATTGGAAAAGAATATAGCTGTCATAAACAAGGAAATTCAAGAACTCATACAAGCCACAGGACAATTGGAGAAAAAAATCTTCCAAAGAGCCACCACTACAAAGTAAAAGTAGATATGATAGAATATTTTGTGATTTTAAAAGTTATTTTAGTGAAAATGTCCGGAAAAAAACTAGACATTTCTGTTAGCAGGACTTAAGGGGAAAGCAATGCTAAAATGAAGAATAGAGAAAATGGTTCAAATGGTCGTGTATCTGGCATGATTGACTCCTTCTCTTACGTAGCTGGAATGTTTATTAATGTGATGATAAATAGTATGAAGATACTAAGAGTTTACTTCTTTTAAGATGCTGTCCACTTTTTTGGACAAGTGGAAAACAAACTAAGCATTTGGAATTCATGAGTCTAGAATGGAAGCTTATATGGCAGATGATGAATTTAAGTTCAAAAGTAAAGTAATATTGAGATAGCAATTGGGAGACATCCTATCATGATATTGGTGTCGGAAGTCGATCTTCAGGTAGATCGAATCCTGTGATTAGAAAGTTTTTGGCAGAAAAGACGATCTTCACATTACCACGGATTGAGCCAGTGGAACAATTTGTACTTTTTAAGAGGAGCAACTACAAAGGCATTGTTGAATTTAGGGTGAAAACATCCTAACAGGTGATTGACTACCAGAACTCATGCAACCAATGAAAAACGATATTTTACCACTGAGACTGGTAATTTAAAGGTGGAGTCTGAGGCAGAGTGGTGTACACAGAGATCGGGAAATTTTGGGAAAACGGAACAGGTGGTCTCAAACTATGCAGGTGGTCTCAAACTATGTTAGTAAGCCGGTGTAAAGACGAATAATGACCCCCATAGAATAATGACCATGGTCACCAGACCTATCGGTGAAAATGCTCACCTGACGTCTGTCCGCCTGTCAGTCAGTCTGTCTGTCCGTCCGTCACAAAAAACTTTAACCTTGCTCATAACTTTTGATTTAGTGGAGCTATTACTTTCATATTTCACATGTGTATTCCTTGTAACAAGACCTTTCTTTCGGTTCCACCAAATTTGACCTTGGAGTTTGACTCACTTTTACACAAAAAATCAAAGATTTTACTTTGGCCATTACTTTTGAACGGTAAATACTATGGCTTTCGTATTTCACATATGCATGTATTCTTTGTGGCAAGACCTTTGCGTGGATACCAACAACTTTGACCTTTTGATCTTGACCTTGCAGATTACCGTACTTAAAAAAAACTTTAACCTTGGCCATAACTTTTGAACGGTAAAGGCTAGGGCTTTCATACTTCATGTTTGTAATTCTTGTGATGGGACCTTTTCTTCGATTCCAACAACTTTGACCTTGACTTGGAGTTTGACCTTATTTTAAAATTTGAATCTTGGCCATAACTACTTTTGAACGGTAAAGACTACGGCTTTCATACTTCATGTATGTAATTCTTGTGATGGGACCTTTTCTTGGATTCCAACAACTTTGACCCTTTGACCTTGTATTTGACCTACTTCTTAAAAACTTTAACCTTTGCCGCAAGTTTTGAACGGTTCGGGCAAGGGATTTTATACTTCGCCAATGCAAACATGTAGATTCTGTGGCAAGAATTTTCATTGGATATAAAGAACTTTAACCTTTTGACCTTGACCTTGGAGTTTGACAAACTTTTTAAAAACTTTAACCTTGGCCATAACTTTTGAACGGTTTGGGCAAGGGCTTTCATACTTCACCTATATAATATTTGTAGCAAGACCTTTTTAAAAAAAAACTAAAAAACTTTGACCCTTTGACCTTGGATTTGACCTACTTTTCAAAAACTTATCCTTGACCATAACTTTTGAACAGGTGGTGCTAGGGCTTTCATATTTCACAATCGTATTTCTTGTGAGATGGCCCTACTTTGGGTACCAATATACATGTACTAGTATTTAATTTGCATTTAAGAAAAGTTTAATCTTCGTTATTTTGCCATACGGGGTCAACAGTGTTTTACTTCCTTTTAACTTTTGATTTAGACGAGATAGGGCTTTCATGTTTGACATGTGTATTACCTGTGACAAGATTTTATAGAATATGTCATAAAAAATGAAATTCACCCAAAAAGACACCAAAAGCGTTGGACAACACTTCTTTGAATTTGCTTGTTTTCTTAGAGATTAATGCATGATTCAGTACTTGTAAGCTACTTGAGGAAAACCAAACACAAGACATTTTTGCACACAACTCATTAATTTAATAGACCCTCTTTTCAGATTAAAAAAAATCTTCTTGGATAATTTTTTTTTAAACTTAAACAAACTTATAACAACACTTTTAACAAAATGTTAGGTAGAATGGCAATTTCTATCAGATTTTATTTACTAAGCTAATTTCGGACATAATTTAATAATTCAGACTGAATGCAAGGGAAATCTTTATTATTACATAAATACCTACTTTCTGTCCAGTAGAAATTCATTTTTAATAAAAAATATTTTAAAGGCTTTTTGTTACGCTCTGAATGGTACAAACAGTTGATTTCTTCTTCCTGTTTTTCTCAACTTATTTCCTTTCCAGCGATTAAAATTGTTTTTTTTATGTAAATCGGGAAATCTTTTTCAAGGAAAACGCAAAAGAGATTTTTTCTCATACAGGTAACACATTAATTTTGAATACAGTGGCTATTATTACATGCCTTGCACTTGTTTTTTTTATTTTTTTTTTTTATTTTTTTTTTTATTTATTTATTTTTTTGCCAATGTCTTTAGTATTCAAATGAAAACCTAGATAGTTAACCCTTTAGATTTCTTCGTATTTCTAAAACCGATCTAACTTGATCGAAGCTTGATAGTAGCCTTCCATCCCTATTTTTCACCCAGTCAAATTCTTCATAGAGTAGGAAACTCTTACCTAGAATTATATTTAAATTGAATCAAGTTATAGTACCAAAGGATACAAAAAGGGGTCAACATTAGGAGACGGCGGAAAGGATAAAAAATGTAAAGACAATGAAACCTATGGAGATAACGAATAGTATTCAAGAGCAAACTCCATAAAACAATTATACAAAATAGGAGCAGAGAAACACGGACCTCAAAAACATTTAAAGGGGAATCAGGTGCCATGGAAGAATTAGCATGTCGCTCGTACTGTCGTCTATAGGTTTCTTCTGCAAGAGCTTTTATATTTTTAACAATACATTATTTTTTGTTTATGGAACTATTTTGGGTTTATTGTATGATGACGAGATGATGCCACGGCGATGGTACGATGGAGTAATATTATGCATCGTTTCATAGTCATAGCACCATCGTGATATCATCATCCTCACTGCATCATCGCGTTATACAAACTGTGACCCAAACCACCATGGAGCGATGTTGCACTAATCAACCTTACTTGGTCTATTCACATTATATACATGTAGTTTTGTCATGTTCAATTTTTTTCCCAGATAGACCTACAATTCCTTATATTGAGTGTGATTTCTGTGAACACATTTTATTTCTCCTGCCACCTGAGTTCCGGGTGATGTAAGTTTTGCTGGTTTATTCACTTTAAATTCCTCCACAAGTTATGGCGAATGTAATGGTAAAGTCTCAACATCGTCTGTTATGGAACTGGAAGCAGTGAAATGGGCAATACGGCGACTGAATGACAACAATTACATTTCGGGAGTCAAAATAGGTACTATTTTAACAATTGCAATTTTAATAGAGATCATTCCCTTATGTTATTTTATTTATTCTCTGTTTATAAAAAAAAACAACAAAATCAATCATCACAGATTATTCTGTGTTTTTTGAAAAAGCTATCAAACTTAATGTTCGCCAGAACAAAAATAAATCATATTGCACCACGCAGATGGATCATACACGATCATTTATGTCTGTTGTCTGGAAAGTGCCTCTTGCTTATATATCAATTAATTTTAATATAGTTACATTCATTTATCATACTTTCTAGGATTGATTGCGTACCCTACATGTCAATCAGAACAGCTGTCCGGGTACAGAGCGATGGAGATCGCTACAGCAATTAAGGAGAAATCTCAAAACATCCTAGGTAGGAAAAAGAAGCAGACCTTGGTTATCTTGGTTTTACAAGTACATCAAGGTTTTTCCTGTTTAAATTAAGCAAAAGTTTTACTGAAAAGTAGCTATTCCCACAAAAGTAGAATGAAATTGTAATTGCCCTCAAATTTAGAAGTATTTGTAATTAAGGTTAAGTCATATATAGGTGTATAACAGTAGAAAATCATGTTTTTCTGGCTTGTATCCGATTTGATGTTGCTATCAATTAATGTATTGGTCACATTTTTTGCCATATGCCCTACAGTATTAACAATTGAAATAGTCAATGCGATCTACAAAAACTTTATTGGTGAATAACAGAATCATCTTCACAGGCATCATTGGTGCAACAAGGAGTTCTGAATCAGAATCCGTGGCTACTATTCTATCCAGACTTCCTGTCACAATCTCGCCCCCGATGACGTCATATTCCTCAACGTGCGTGTCTTTGAGTGATAAAACCAGATTTCCGAATTTCTTCAGAACGATTTATTCAGATCATATACAAATAGAGGTGGGGTTTAAAAATGTATACTTTAAATTTTGATGATTATGGATTTTATAGGGATAAACGTTATGAAATTCATATAATATTCCATCGAAATTCAAACGGCAAAAGCAAGTCACAATGCATGTTTTGCTCATTTGATGTATCTATCATTTTCAATAATTGCTTTAAGGTCAAGATCTAGTAAATAACTTTATACTAATTTTTTGGTGCTAGATCCATTATGACGTCATAATCAATTTCAACTTTCTTTTTCCCGTACTTTACAGCTTTAGCAGAATTATATAGAAAATAGGGTATTTTCATGACATTCAATTTGAAATCATATGAAAAGTAAACCGGATACCTATATTAAATTTGATATTGATTTAAAGAAGAGGCCATGAACTTACTAATTACCGTTTTCTGAGAGACTGTAGGCAACCTGGATACATTTCCTTTGTCGAATATGAAAAAACTCCGGTTCAATATTCATGTCTGGTTTTCTTTATTTTCATTGAAAATGACAGTTAAAAATACAGTTTTTCATCTTGTTTACCTGCAAATTATGCCCCGAAACACATTATTTGACCAAGCTAAAGTTGTAAAGCAATAATAAAGGAATGTGTAGTATGGTGTCCGGATAGGCCCATTTGCGTTAGCGCTACATCGCGTTCAGATAAACGCGACGTCGCACTAACACACAACACGCCTGTCGCGCTAACGCAACTTTGCACAACACGCTGTCGCGCTTACGCACAACACACCGTCGCGCTAACACAACTTTGCACAAAACGCCGTCGCGCTAACACAACTTTGCACAACACGCCGTCGCGCTAACGCAACTTTGCAAGTTTCACAGTCTAGTAGGAAGTCGAGTACGGAAATAAGCATGCTGATTGCAATTAACGTGTTCATCACTTTAAAAAATGATACATTTTATGCATAATGTGGTTGATTTTTACTAAATAAATAATATTCTTATACATAAAATCATAAAAAAAGTTATTTTATGGAAGTTTTCACCAGAAAAACGTAACAAAATAGGTGGTGAAACATCCCGATCCCAATTAAATTTCAGAAACCTTGTTTGTCGAAATAATAATTTTTATCTGAATATCACAAAATTTTACAATTATTTTTCAATGTTTTACACATTATTTTTTATTAAATTTTAATGATATGTATAATTCTCGACCCATAATATATTCTGATCTAAAGCATATTAAATAATTTCTTACTATTATATAAAAAAAACTATTATCGAGTCTTAAGAGATTATAGTAATCTGTTAAAATAAGCAAACAAATTGTTAAAATATAATTTTTAATTTAACTTTGTTTTATTATGATATATTAGTTATTTAAAATATAAAAAAAATCATTTACAGACAATAAATAACTTAAAATCATTAGAGTTCTGTAGGGTTCTCTGGGTTCTCTGTTTAGTAGTACCCTGCGCAGTCTTATATTTCCGTACACGACTTCTTACTAGACTGTGAAACTTGCAAAATTGCGTTAGCGCGACGGCGTGTTGTGCAAAGTTGTGTTAGCGCGACGGCGTGTTGTGCAAAATGTGACGTTAGCGCGACGGTGTGTTGTGTGTTAGCGCGACGGCGTGTTGTGCAAAGTTGCGTTAGCCCGACGGCGTGTTGTGCAAAGTTGTGTTAGCGCGACGGCGTGTTGTGCAAAGTTGTGTCAGTGCGACGGTGTGTTGTATGTTAGCGCGACGGTGTGTTGTGCAAAGTTGTGTTAGTGCGACGGTGTGTTGTATGTTTGCGCGACGGCGTATAGTACAGTGTTGCTTTGGCGCGACGGCGTGTTGTGTGTTAGCGCGACGGCGTGTTGTGCAAAGTTGCGTTGACGCGACGGCGTGTTGTGTATTAGCGCGACGGCGTGTTGTGCAAAGTTGCGTTAGCGCGACGGCGTGTTGTGTGTTAGCGCGATTTCACGTTTATCTGAACGCGATGTCTCGCTAACGCAAATGGCCCTATCCGTACAAGCACCATAGTGTATACTTGAACATGACATCTCGCGCATTGATTCGGTAAGATTTTGAAATGCTTTGTTTTTATTGTTTAAGTGTTTTAATCATTGTGGGTTGGTAAGTTTTATTGAAATTTTTGATTTCAAATGGACGACTTACCGTATAAGGGAAAATTTTAGCAAGACTCAAATTTAGCGATTTCGTCTTAAAAATTGGTTTTCAATTTTTAGCGAGAAGTAATTTTAATTGTTTGAAAAGAAGCTATAGCAAACAAATTTTAGTGATATTCAATTTTAGCGATCTCAGAACCCTCGCTAATAAAGCTAAAATACAAGAGGCCATGGGCCACATCGCTCACCTGAGCACTGTAGCTTGGATAAAACAGAAATTAGTTTATTATTGAAAAGTTTAAACCCAAAAGTGATCCCAACCAATCCATATCATGATCAGCCACTGTAGCCCCGCCCTACCCTTGGGGGTCATAATTTAAAAAAAGAATGTATATCTACACTACCTAGGGATGCTCTCATATAAGTTTCATCTTTCCTGGCAGAGTGGTTCTTGAGAAAAAGATTTTTAAAACATTTTGTGGCCTGTCCTATCTCCAAGGGTCATGATTTGAACAAACTTGGATCTTCACTACCTGAGGATGCTTCCCTATAAGTTTCATCTTACCTGGCAGAGTGGTTCCTATATATTTCTATTTTTAACTTTGAGCGGCCATTGTGGCCATGACCTACCCTTGGTGGTCATGATTTGAACAAACGTAAATCTATACTTCCTGAGGATGCTTCAATATACATGTACCTTTAATATTTCCTGGCACAGTGGTTAAAGAAGAAGATTTTTAAAGGAATTTTCTGATATATTTTTATGTTAAACTTTGAGCGGCCATTGAGGCCCCGCCCTACCCCCGGGGGTCATGATTTGAAACAAACTTCAATCTACAGTCCCAAATGCTTCCCTATAAGTTTCAACTTTCCTGGCATAGTGGTTCTTTAGAAGAAGATTTTTAAAGAATTTTCACATATATTTCCTGGCACTGTGGTTCTGGAGAAGAAGATTTTAAAAAGATGCCATTAATTTTTCATTTATTCATAATTATCTCCCCTTGGAAGAGGGTTTGGCCCTTTATTTGAATAAACTTGAATCCCCTTCACCCAAGGATACTTTGTGGCAAGTTTGGTTGAAATTGTTCCAGTGGTTCTTGAGAAAAAGATGAAAATGTGAAAAGTTTACGACGACAACGCCAACGACAACAACGGCAGACGACGAACAAATTTTGATCAGACAAAACATCATCGTTAAAATGTCATGTCCATTTATACGGTAGTTCATATTACTGGTGACTTTAATTATTTGAATTCCTAAAAATGTAGTTTTTAGGTTTTTATTCTTCTAAGATACGTTTTTCAGAGTAATAAGTGAAAAAGGTGAAAAACAGATTATTTTCAAATGTTCACAAATTAAATTCGCAATTATCTGTCTATTTAGATACCGATTATACTGATGGAGTTTCTTGAAAAAAAATTGTACATTTACGTGGAAATATTTGTTTGCGAAAATATTGGAGAATAAAAAACTTTAATTGTATATATTCCCTATATAATCTATACAAGCGCAAACAGTTCGTTACACTACATATTCACTGGATTTGAGGCCGTATTCACCGGAGGGTAATTGCGCGTGCGGCGGCATTGTGACGTCAGAATCAACCTCTCAAAAAACGTTGTAAACGGCTGTAGCGAGCTACATATCGTATATCGGAGCAGGAAAAATATTATACAAACCTATTGAAGGATTATTTTTAAACATTTGGACATTCTACACAGCGAAATTCGGAAAAGAATACACGGAAAAGACAAACCGTAATCTAGACTTTTTTTTATCAACGACGGAAGTTCGTTAATGAAAATAGTGTCGTCATTCAGCCTTCAATGTATTATTTATTCAAATTCGGACTATATGATAAAACAATTATGGACTCTTTTGGTGTTGAATATGGTTTGTTATTCACCAGGCTTCGCCTCGGTCAATATGAATTTTTATGTGTTTTTTTTAGAAAGGTATTTGTAAAAGAACGAATCCTGATTATTCTAATTACGGTATCTGGTATATTACGTAAATAATATATTTAATTGGAAAAAGGTCCGTTCTATTAATTGTTTTCCCTATCTGTTTATATATTTTCATGACATATAATAAAAAAAAAAGAATAATTGTGTTTTATGTTAATTGCCTAATATGTATAAATTATATGTTCCATGTTATCATATCAAATGATGATACTTAATTGTAAAAGGGAACACAAAAAAATTGTGACCGGTATATTTTTTATGGATCGGAATATTATATTATTGATAAAAAATTTTGTACATATCTTTATTTAGGGAATAACTATCTTCTAATTTGGATGTTTGCGACCGTTAAATCAGCATTAACGGTCGCAAATGCCCAATTAGAAGATAGTTATTCCCATTCTAATGCAATCCATGTATTGTTTTTGTTGTTTACGTCTTATTTTGTTGAGTTTTATTACATGAAATACGTCATGGGGCATTGTGTTTTTGCGTCGCTCTATTATGACGTCACAATGAAAAATCTTTCACGCTCGTTAATGCTCGTTTTACTGCTTCAAACATCAGTGCATTAGCCAATCAAAACGTGTTTTACTAAACAATTGCATTAGAGTACGCAATTTGTATATTCCAGGACATTCCAAATATCACCAATACTCCATATTAATCTTCTAAAGGTGTCGTAATGATAAATATATAAATCTACAGCTGTGTTTTCCATCAGCTGTGTTTTCCATCGTACTGCCGTCCCGTGGGGATCCGGGTTGGAATAGGTCCTCAGTACCCCCTTGCTTGTCGTAAAAGGCGACTAAATGGGGCGGTCTTTCGGATGAGACCGTATAAACCGATGCCCCGTGTCACAGCAGGTGTGGCACGATAAAGATCCCTCCCTGCTCAAAGGCCGTAAGTGCCGAGCATAGGCCTAAATTTGCAGCCCTTCATCGGCTATGGTGACGTCTCCATATCAGTGAAATATTCTGGAGAGGGACGTTAAACAGTATATAATCAATCAATCAATCCATCATACTGCCGGGAATACCCGCTACACAACGTTTACAATAGGACTCTTAGGGATACATGTATTTCAAAAGAAAGTTTTTGCTGTAAGTCGCTTCTGACAATTAATATTAAACTATTCCTGGACGTTCAACTTATCAAACTGAATTAATTGCTTACTTAAAGCTTAACACGATTCGAAAAAATATTGTGTCTGCCATTTTCTATTGGATTCTTGCTACATACGAAGACCCCTATAAAAAGGACCTGACCTAGTCACAGTTCAGTCGACACCGGTGTAGATTAACGTACAGCTATTCAAGAACACACTTGACTCGGTAGCAACAAAAAACAAGTGTAATACTTCTTGTAACAGAAAGGTAAGAAACCAAAGAAACATATCAAAGTTTCACAGGTCAGTGCAGTAACTATACAAACAAACACAAATACGCGTACCTGCAATAAATTGTTAACAAAGGTAAAGCAAGATAACCAGCTTGTACGTGGATCTCCATTCCACATTGATACACATGACAAAAACACAATCAAAAATACTTAAAGAATGATGTATGCGTATTTAAGAGTCGAGTTCAGGTTCAAATAGAGATTAATGTTACACAAATAATAGAAATTGTATTGAGTTTATATCTCTTTAATTTATATGCTGCGTATAAAATAAACTAAATTAATAAAATACAAAATAATATCTGCGCCAAGCGTCCATATTTTGACAAAATTTAGCTTTTTGCCATTTTGAACATGTGTTGACGTACATGAACATGTACGTACTGACACCAGTTTAGAGCACGAGTATACCAAGGTACGTACATGCACTATCAGTGCAAAATGTACAAGTCATTTGTAAACTTTAGATGTACAAATTTTAAAAGCAGTCGGTTCTACAGGCTGTTATTGGCCATCATACCACACTGCTCAACGCGTTATCGGCTACTCGGTTGTTATCGGACACTCGGTTGATAACAATTTTTGACAGGTTAGTAATTTATTTTAAATAAACTCTGCTAAAATAGAAACAGGGAATATTCATTGTGCTTTTTGTAAACAGAAATGAGTACGGATACAAAATAAAGCCTCGATACGCATTAGTATAGCATTTGTTATAGCCTTTAGAAGACTATAAAAGTAAAATTTGTTTTATTTTGCAAGTTTTTCTCCGATTGTTGTAAATGGCCTTTTTCTTCAAAATCCTTATAGTTACCTTGCGTCACTGATTGTCCACAAGAAGACTTCCACAGAATCTTGCAAATATGTAATTAAAGAGCAAAAATTGCCCAATTTTAACTTTCAGTATGTTATCGGAAATGCGGTTGAATAATGCACTTTGTTATCGGATAACTCGGTTTTGGTTATCGGAAACAAAGGTTGTCATAGATTAGGGAAAACACAAAGAAACGACAGATATCCGTATGAAACCTAAATATTTAAAGTGACTGGCACGAATTTCTAATTTTTGGCTATAATTTGCCTCCAAATTATTTTATTATTATCCTTTTAAAAAATGAGTGCATTTTTGGCATTTCTCACTGAATTCTTCATGATTTTGACCTCTTCGAAAATATGGTATACAATTGTAAGTTTTAAATTATATTTCAAGGTACCGAGGTCGCCCGCGTGGCGCAGTGGTTTAAGTGCCTGCTTCTAGAGCCGCCAAGTAAGGCGGGAGTCGATCCTTACGTCGCGGGTTCATATTCCACAGTGGGTGCTGGCACAAAAACACCCCGCACTGATCAATAGCCCTAGGTGCTGAGTATATAACAAATTTTGAAGCTCTCCGCCGGCAAGTGATGGCGTCTCCATATGACTGGAACATTCTCAAGAGGGCGTTAAACAACATACAATCAAGGTGCTGAGCGCATGGCGAAGGAACTGTTGCTACCCATTTTTATCGAATAAGATCAGTCGCCGCCGAGAATCAAATTCACAGCCTTTAGAACACGAATACGTTTATAAGTTTGGCATATACATGTAAAGCAATTAAAGAATTTAAACTTAAGGGTGGTTAGATGAATTTCCAAATAAGGGGTTAGACCAAAATATATGACATAGAATTCAAAATTGTATGGTAAAAGAGATTGACTTTAAAAGATTCCAAAAACATAAACACGGATCTCTAAATCACCGGAGGTTGTTTAACGTACCAAGAAGGAATAAGAACCCTTCTGATGAACGGTCGTATCACGCAGTGTGCTCAAATTCAATGTGTAGATAGAGCTAAATGCTCGGATGCAGGGTGTGTGTGGCTGACATAGATTTTGCACTGCTTTTGGATGTTTGCTAAAGCAAAAAATCTCTGGCACTGACCCCCCCCTATTGCAATTGAAAACGCAAATAACTGTTTGTAGAAAAAGTTAAACATACGATGAACTGAAGTGTATCAATCAGCACCCCTTCCTCCTGAATACTAGTAGGTATTTTTAGCGTTTGGAAATTGAGTTATATATCTTTTTAAATTCAAGTATTTCTAACACAATAAAATTCCAGTCGGATCCCTTAGTTTTATGTATTATTATTTTTTTTTAATATTTTTTTTGGACCATGCTTTTTTGTTAAAGGATAGTCTCTTTAATCTACTACATATCCAAATTACATTGTATAAGAAAGAATTAAGAATTATTATTCTTTAATGTTGACAGCTGTCTGATTGACGTAAAATCACATTATCAAGTATTTCAAAAGTCCTACCTGGTATAAACTGGGTGATTCTATTTTAACCTTCTAAAAATATGTTAAGGTTCTTCTGGGAGCAACATAAGTCCTGACGTCACAGTCACTTGTTTCATATACGGGCCACACCTGCTATATGTGTAACTGTGACGTGATAATAAATTGACATTACTAGACAAAAAAATTAGTTCCCCGGGGATCATAGGGTTATTGAACATTTTTTTTTAAATTCACGTATCCGGTATATGGGAAGTCTAAAGCAAATTTTTTATGATTAATTAAACATATTATATTTACGTCTGAAACCGCCTGAAGCGGTTACCAAGAGGTTATCTTGAATTGAAAACGAGAAAAATGATTGAACAGGTGAGTAGTTCTCTTATAAATTTTATCTATATACATTCATATCAAAACAAACTTTTACTTTTGCTATTTTCAAGGACTGGCAGATTATAATGGACCTTTTCCAATCCATTTATGAAGCTAAAGGAAACTTTTTAACCTGGGTTTCCGATAACATACACCCGTCAAAAACCGAAGTATCCGGCAACATCAACCGTGTTGCCGATAACATGTTTTCAACTAACGAGACATTTTAAACGATTTTAATCATCTCAGTTTGCTGATCTAAAGGTATCTGATTGTCCATATAATAAATAGACAAGTTTCTTTGATAGAATAAAGTATTTTTTAATTCTACAGAAGTAAAAATGTGATGACATATTCCAAATTTTTTGTAAAATATCATTTGAAAGAGCTGTAGATCTTTTGAAAGAGAGTGATATGGTTTGTGCTTTCTGCTGCTGAAAATATAATCAATTATTTGTCATAGATCACAAACTTTGTTTGCTGAAATAAAAATTTAACGTTGAAATATGAAATTTAGAATTACATACAATTTCTGAACATTGCTCTTCTTGCACCGAGTGTCCGCTAACAACCGAGTAGCCGATAACGCGTTGAGCAGTGTGCATACTGCAGTGACCAAAATCGTATCCTTTAATTAAATTATTTTTTTTTTCTGTTCTTATATTGCACTTTTCCTCACAATAAATTCACATAAGAGTCAAAAACGGAATTGTACATATAAACATCCTTACATGCATGGCTTAATACTAGTATATGAACTTTTATTTTAGACATAAAATAGCAAAATTTCTTTTTTTCATGAAAGGTTAATGAAAAAAATATAAGCTGAAAAAAGAAACGTTAGATTACCTGTAGATTCTTCCTAGAAGGTCCCAGAAATCTTTTTAAATTCCAAAAATAGCTGAAAAAAATCCACGATCTAAAATAAAACATTTATTGATTCCACTCTATTTTAAAATAATAGCTTCTCTGTTTTCAAACTAAGAAAAAGAAAAAGGAAAATACTTTTTCCTACTTTTATGAGCAAGTATTGCAAAAATGGAGCTTGAAATAATATAAAAACATAATTAAGGCAGAAGTTTTTAAGGATTACTTGGTTCTTTTTAAAAACATGGAATTTTCCACCTAAAAATAGCTAATCATTTCGGGAACAAAAGACTGGCGAATGCTTTCAGATCATAAGCTATATCAAACCAAACATAAGATTATATAAATAATGTAACATCAAATTTCAGCTTGAAACATGGATACACATACAACTTAAAATGATACATTGGTCAATAGATTTTTCTACACGTCTAAATCAACCAAACATATTTCCAAAAATAACTAAAAAAAATCCTTGTTCCAAAAAAAGACTAGTTTCATTTTATTTCAAAGTAGTGACTTTAGCAGGTAAGAAATGAAACTATATTTACTAAATATATTTTAAAAAGAATCTCAAACTTATTCGTTATCTTTAAAATTGTATTTAGAAGATATTTACATAAGTGTACTATTAAATAAGAAAAAAGATAAACGTCAATGTATATTAATAATACCTTAAATTTTGAAAGCAATAAAACATTTTCTTTCACAGGGTACCTGTAGTTTTTTCTTCCAGGAAACGAATCTTATTCTCTCATTTCTGAGATGTTTCTTTCTTCAAGTTCATATTTAGTTCAAGTAAATGTTACTAAAAGTGACGTACATGTATCATTAAAGGCAACTTTTAGGGCTTAATTGTTGTTTTGAACAGAAATCCAGGAGTTCTAATCAATCTATGTTATGCAGATATATTTGATAAGTTTGTATTATGTTCACTTTATTTTTTCTTTCACAACTAAACGTTAATAAAACAATGGAAATAACTAACAGTATTAGAGATCAAAAGTCTCTTTTAAGAATACAAATCAGGAGTTGAGAAATCTCAGACCTCTTAAACATTAAGTTTCGTCTTAATTATTTTGAAAGAGAGATTGATAATTATCCTTCAGACATTAATAAGAACTTTTTTATTTACAGATATAAATAAATTTTATCAAACATTTAACATATTGCTTTTTTGCACATTCTGGACATCTTTGTTTTATTTTTAGAGACTTGAAGCCTTTCGTGCAAAAATGTTTGAATGGGATATATTTGGAGAGGTAATTTAATTACATGTAATAAATATAATTAAAGTATACAGTTCAGAGATTCATTTTGAAAATTATATTTAAAAAATATCAATTGTAAAAAAAATCTTTGATTTTATTTCTAGGATTCAGCTGCATGGGAGTCAAGAGATCCAGCTGACGAGGTAATTGTAACAACATTTAGATGTGATTTAGCTAAAAACCACTGACATTTATTCAGAATATGATAAAATATCATTAAAAAATAATTGAATTTTTAATTTATTTATAATATTCATCTAGATCCTTTATAAGAAATCTTTTAAATTTTGGTCTCATTTATTTTTGATAGAGTTATTTTTATTTGGGTCATATTTTTCCAATATAATATGTATTTACTACTAATTAATTCCTTTGCCCGTGTGGCTCAGAGCGACTACTCTATAGACATGGAGTGGAGTAAGGCGTTTATGCTTACGTCATTGGTTCGAATCCCACTGTGATACGTGGAGACCGGTCTTTCGAATGAGACCATATTTATAACCAAGATCCATTGTCCCAGTAGGTGATCCCTCACTGCTCACTGGCCCTGGGTGCTTACTACTAGTATATGACAAAAATTGCAACCACAGGCAAATAGTAGCGTCTCCATGTGATCAAATATTCCCCAGTACCACGTTAAACAACAAAAACTTTAACAAACTAACAAAAAAATATATTCTGTTTCATTAAGGGACAAAAATATTTTTCTTCTGAAAGACTATCTACGAGAAAGGAATATTTTTAATGAGAGAAGAGAAGGATTATAATCCTCGCAAATTCATTTTTACGTTTTTTTAAACAAATATATACCGGTACACTTTATCTCAAAGATTTAACAAATCTTTTATTTCTTTATATTGTATATGGAGGATAAATATTGCATTTTACATTTAGATTCATGACATCGGAGAGGGAAGTAATGAGGCCAAAGATGAATCAAGACAGGTAATTGTAATTTCAATTATGTACATGTGTTTACCTCGAAGAGTAAAAAATAAGGTATTTGGATGTTCCTTATGAAACTTATTTGCTTCCACTTTGAAAAAAAAACTTTGGTTTGAACATTCGCAGTGAAGTGTCTATTGAACATAAAAATGATGATAATTCAAATTGGTATTCAGGAAATAAAAAAAGGAAATACGGCGAATAAATGAGAAAGATGAAAGCAAAAATTGGCAAAGGCATGGCTATTATCCAAGAAAGAAGACATGCCGCTGTTATATTGACATGTGTACAAATCTTGACATATTGAAAAGGAAATCGAAGTGAAATAAACCTATCTGTGTTCATAATGGTTATGGTCAAACACCCAAAGACGTAAAACGCTACGATGAAATATCTTTTAGTGATGCAAATATCGAGACTATCAAAAATGGTGCTTGGAATACACGAAATAACACCTAAACACATATCAGAAATGGCCATCTGTAATGCAGGCAGACGGATAGAAAATTTGAGCTTTTTGCTTTTTAAAAGTACCAGAATGGATATGCAGTTAAGAACAGCAGTGGGTAAGCCAAATAAAAACAGGAGAGTATCCACTGTTGAAGCTTCTTTTGAAACTGTTACGTTTCCTGAAATGTTGAAAGCCTCCTCAATCATTGCGTCCTTTTATTCTTTGTTTTAAGATCCCAGGGGCCTTTCTTCGCCTTATAGAAATGTCGATTAACCTCAAGAACTAAAGTAATATGTTTTTATTCATCAATCAACCTTTGTCATTCGTTCAACTTGGCATACAAGGTACATTAGTTCCATTATATAGTGTAAAAAACACGAATTTTTTTGCGATGAGCAAAGAAAAAATTATCTAAATCATTTCGTTTGAGAAAAGCTATCAATCCTTGTAGACTTTCATGAATTTACTTACTAGCAAGGAGAAAAACATCCGAAATGCTCACGTGTAATGTTTCGAGCATATAATACACGGACTTTACAGAAGGTGTGTATAAATAGACATTCTCTAAGAAAAGCCCCTCCCTTTTACAAAGTATGGTTTTTCGCGCATCATATGTTTGCGCGTAATTACTATGAAGAAATCGTCTCGCAGGGTATTTTAAACAGAGGTAATAATAACCTAGTATAAAAATTGTCATCAGCAGAAATCCAGTGCAATTAATTGAAATTGATTAATAGACATATAAGACATGCTAGTGCACCATTCACTCTCTTCGCAGTGTAAATTATATATATGATATGTTGAATTTCATGGCAGTTGATTTATTTGAGTTTAAAATGACAACTGTGGTTACAGAAATCATTGGTTCGTCTTTTAGCGAACATGCAATTTCATAAAAAGTGTAGATGTGATTTTTGATACCATCGTCATCCTCTTCCATATTACTTGAAGCCCTGACGATGGGGCGACTCAGGGTAGGCAATTTGTACGTGTAGAATTTTACAGCCGACGACAATATGTGCTGACAGTATTTGCAGTGAGGGTAGGTGCATATTATCGCCTACGACAATATGTCTTTAACAACAAAACGCACTGTACCGCACGGTTACAAACTTATCATGACTAGATGTTTCTGAATTCCATATCCTTTTGCTATGTCTCTCTAAAATGAACAGCATATTTTTGCTATGTCTTTATAAAATGAAACATATTCTGCTGGTCATGCTTAGAAATGCTTGTCATCTCTGTGCATGTCTGTGATCATTACCTTATTACATGTTTATATGAGACTTTAATAATGGTCTTTCTAAACCAAAGTCTGTTATTCTGAACACAACATGTTGTTTACGTGAAATGACAGAACTGTTTCTTAGTAACAAGTAACTACTTTTAATTTATGGAATAGAAAACCCACAACATTCTGATGAAGTTGATAATGATAGACAAGATATATGATCAAGAATTTAATTTTATAGAACTTCTCATAATTGTGATACATATACAGAAATGTTCGAGACAAATGATGAGAAAGAAAAATATTAATTGGCAGTAAATCATATGCAAATCCTGATACCAAGTTTTCTGCACAGTAATTTTGTAGGCCCACACATGTCTGTATCACGTAATATGTGATTATAAGATCTTACCAAGTATACTTCCTTCAGTATAAAAAAGTAAGCACAAAGCACAAAGATTTGCGTTTTATTACGTTTTTAAGCGGCAGATGCTAAAACTAAACTTTCTCAACATCAATTTTTGTTTATTTGTATCATCTGTTAAAAAATGTAAATAATTATAAGGCCAGGCAGCACTTTTTCACATATTATCAGCCGCAGGAGCGACGTACCGTGCGGTTCAGCTTAGTCTGCCGAATTCCTCGTGACAAGGATCCAAACCCTAGGAACATGAAGCAGTCTGTGTTAATTGTCTTAAATTATCAGTAAGAAATCACGTGGAATTTGAAATGTTATAAAAGTTTCTTTCCCTTTCAAGCTGTTAATTTTAAATTTCTCGATTCAGTTTCCAATAAATATTCATTTTATGAATGACTGATATTTTGCCTTAAGTCTAAGACTGCTTTATGATCCTGGGGCCCGTTTCTGCAAAGGTCGTACGCCCAGTCGTAGCGCTACGCTGGCGTAAAGTCGGGACTACAGTGAAGCACAAAGATTTGCGTTTCATTAAATAGCGTATCTTCACAACGGACTCTGAAAGTTAGGCCAAAATTTTACTCATGTGTAAGTGTAAGTTCAGGCTTAAACATAACAAAACGAGTTTACTGAATTGAAAACCATTTAACCATTTAACCAAGAAGAAAAACGGCTCTGTGAAGTCTTTTTTTACAAACAATGCATTATTTAATT